CCATGTCTTTGATGTATTCCAAAGTCTCTCTCTTGTTATTTTCGACTTCTTCATCAATTTGAGCGGCAGTCATGTTACAACAGGCACTATACCCGTCTCGCAATTTGGCAAACTCGTTCTTGACCCGTTCAGAGATGACATTCCTGATATTGATCCACATGTCCTTCTTGCATGCGTCTAAGTATGGGATGATCTTTGGTCGTAACATACATTGAATGAAGTCTTTAAAGTGCTCTTTCATCAAGTCAAGTAATTTAGTGACTGCGTCATCGTAAGCAGTGCCAATGTCTTTACAGACACTTTCGAACTTCTCTTTGGTTTTCTCAGCAAGGAACGCAGGAACAGCTTTGTCGAATTGGTCTCTCCACTGTCTTTCTATCATTGTTTTTGTCGTCCCAAGCTTTCGTGCAAACGTTTGGTAACTCACATAGTTGAATTCTTTCTTGTTGTGTAACAAAGCATATCCATTTCTTATATTAGTGAACTCTTGCTTTGTTCTCTTGTTGATCTCTTGCTCCATCACTTCTGCTTGCCGTTCAAAAAGTGACTCAACGGAGTTCTGCAGTTGCTTCTTCAGAGTCTCTTCAAACTGTTCAACTATATTAGGCATGTATCTCTCCGTTGCTTGTTTGAAGTTCTTCAGCGAATCATCAATAGCTTCAGTGAACACCTTTTTGAACTCGGGGATTATTCTCCCGCTCTTGAGTTGACTTGTTTCGTTCTTCGTACTTTCAGTGAACTCTTTGTATATCTGGGAAGATATCTCGTTGCATCTAAATTTGGACAACATCTCTCTTTGACTCGGCAAATCAAGCTCCTTGTTATCTTTGATCGTCTCCCAGATCTGTTCACAAAAACATGATAGGCCATCGGCTGGTATATTCTTGTTATAGAGTGGAGAAAAGAACGTGTCTTCTGCATTTGAATCAAACCTCAGTCTTAATTCGTGTGCCTCCTTCACAAAGTTGTCATAGAAATGTTCAAAATGGGGGAGTGACGTGAACTGGAAATCGAAAAATTGGTTGATTGGCGCACCAACAAATTGTTGAGGAGGAATGACAGTCTCCCAAATCCTCATGATGTCTTCCATAATATCGCGTTCAATTTGTTCGAAGGGGGTATCTGCTTCTCTATCTCGTATAACAAAGACTATCAATGTTTTTGGAGTCTCTTCCTTCACAAAGAGTTGCAGATTGAGTTCAAAGACTGTCTTTAAGAGAGACATGTTTGACGCTTGAAACCTTCCTACATCATGTGACCACAAATTAACCATCAGCACACTACACACTGAAAGTGAAAAGAGTGAGGTTTTACGTTCAAAAGAGTAATCGTCTTCTCGGGAAGAACCGTCTGTGCCTTCCAAATCAAACACGACAATTTCAGAGTTCTTCCCAGAAAGTGCCATCCATACCCCATGTGTTGTTCTAGACCGTCCCAAGGATTCGTTTAATATACGGAACTGTGTATAAAACAAGTGATTCAGCAATGTCGACTTTCCACTACTTTGTGCTCCCAAGATACCAACTGCATTGTAAGATGTTCCTCTGTTAATAAACTCCGGCTTTGATTTAATGTAGTTGTTCAGTGAAGGGCGCTCGCGTGTATCTGTAGAACTATTTGTTACGTGTTTCCTCATTTATTACACACAAAAAAGACCAAAGTTATTTATAATTGTTTACACACAGAAATTAATAGGTAATAGGTAATAGTGTGTAACTCCTCTTACCATAATAAAATACACTCCAATTCACATGTAAGTCGGCTGTTATTTCGTAGAAAACAAACGCAAAATTGCCATCACCATCGATGATCTGTAAGCCAGACTCCGGGTTAACCTTATTAATAACTTTAGAAAGGCTTTGGACGCTTTCTACATACTGACTCATGACCCGGTCTCTTGGTGTTTTCGCAACGTTGACCTGCTTTGTGACAAAGTGTTTCTTTGGTGACGACTCGTCCATGTGAACTTGAAATTGGATTTTTTAATACAAGTTGCTTCCCCTTTTCAATATTGAAAAACATTTTTAATAACATTTTCAAGTTCCAACTTGTTGGGAAGCAAAAGAAAAAAGAAAAACATTTTCAATAACAAAAAAAGATGAAGAAGAAGTGAATGATAGTTTTACTTGACCCCTCTCAATCGAACACCTAAAGCTCTCTCCATCTTGATAAGGACTTGCTCACTTGGGATGGCACTGCCACTCTCATACTCAGCAATGAGCTGCTGTCGCTCGCAAATTTTATTTGCAAGTTCTTTTTGTGTCATTTTTTTGGCTTGGCGCGCTTGCGCGATTGTGACAGACAATTTTCTATTGACCTGTTTGTGGACAAGAGGCGCGTCGGTGCCGTCCACCTTTTCTTCGATTTTTTTCGAATTCACGCCGGAGTGTGAGTTCATCCCCGCTCCTCCCTTTTTGACTGCTTTCCCAGCAGCTGTTTTCTCTGGTTTCTCTCGCCCAATATAAACGTCTTTCGTGTCAATCCCAACGATAAAGTTCGACATGGATTTTTTAGTCCTTCAGTGTCGTTTTCATGAAGAATGACGTGGTTCTGACTTGTATAGCGTCAATGGTGCATTTAACTAGTTATTTATTATTTATTTATTATATAAATTAATACATTCAAGAGAAGAGTTATACAATCCACAGAGAAGAATTTGCTGTTTTGAATAAATAAATCACCACGTGTGATCTCCTCATTGTATTGTGACCATTTTTGTAGTATTGAATTCTATTCTTTTACTCCGTTAACTCCACTTTTTAGTATTTTGTTAGACAAATACAGTAAAAAGTTATGCTTCAATCTTTTTCATACTTTTTATTATGTAGTTCATCCCAATTTTTGATGAATGACTCATCTTTCTCACGTCGAATTTGAGTCTTTTCAATTATAAGAGATGGCAAAATCAATATAAAAACTCACTCACTTTTCTTCTCTCTTTTCCCATCATCTTCTTCAATGCCTACAAATCGCTTTGCAGGTTCAATGACCTTGCGTTGCTCTTTGAAATTCACTCCGTCATTTTTCAACTCTGCAGAACTTCCTTCTCCACTTATTGGAATACTTTTCTTCGCTTGAACGAGCACTAACTCATCCTTGTCGGTGTACACTAAAGTGTCATCTTTATATCGCTGAGCCCCTTTCACCTTCCCAAAGATATCATTCTTCTCGACGTTCTCTAATTTGCCACTGTTCGCGTTATAAGTGGCTTTTACTAAGTAAAGCGCTTCTCCTTCAATACCGACAAGGCACTGAATGCTCTTATTAACAACAAGAGCATCATAAACAATTACAACGTTACTCGGTTCAAACTGCAATCGCCCTATTTCTTCACCATTGTCGACCCAAAAGAAAAGTACTTTACCATCACACCCTCCACACACTACAACACCTCTCCCATCAATTTCCTCAGTCTTGGCAGAAGTGACTAACTCAACAAATCCATAACAAAAGCTTTGGATGATGTCCGTTCGTGGGTATCGCGTGACGCGGACCTTTTCATCTCTGTCACACGAGACTATTGCGTTCTTTTTCTTCGTGAAAGAAATTTCGTTGATGACACTAAAATGGGTAATCACTATGTTCTTTGTAGCACACTCTTTGTTCTCTTTCTCCTTTTTCTCGTCTTTTTGCTCCTCCACCTTTGGAATATCCTCCTCTGTAAATTTGAAAACGTCTCCAAACTTGTCAGACACCAAAAAGACGTTTTCGTCGGCTATAATAGATGTCAACTTTTTCGTCAACATAATTTCGCGTATCTTTCTGAAACCCTCATCAAAGACGTTGATCTTTTTATCGTCTCCAACAGTCACATAATGTTTGTTTGCCAATTCTACTACACCACTCACGTTGCCTTCACATACTACATGGCCCACTTTCTCCAGCTCTGAAGAGTAAATTTGTACAGTGTTCTTGTATATGACAAAGACTTTATCTTTTGATACCCTCAACATGTTCTGTTTTTTAAGTTCGTTGTATTTTGTAATTAATTTTGTTAAATTTTTACTATATTGAACGAGAAATTAATTTTAAAACATACAATAATGATCATATTGTATACATTATTGGGAAAACCTCAAAAGTGTGGAAAAACGGAAACCCTGAAAAATCATTCTCAATTCAAAAACGGTGTAACAGAGTCGTAGAACTTGTCTCTCTCAGCCTCACTATTGAATTTGAGTGAATAGTACTCTCTTTCAGGTGTGACTTGGTCGTATTTCATGAGGGAAATAATGACAATTGTGGATAATTTCTTCTGTATAATAAAAGCACCTTTAACCAATCTCGAGATGGCAAGTGGTCTTGGAAACTCATCGACTGTCATCGTAAATTTTGCTATTCCATCTTTCTTTTCTTTCACTGCGTTAATTTTAACGGAAGAACTGACTAAGTTCCATTTATTTTCAATCACTTGGTTTGTTTCGTTTGTGGTTTTGGACAACTTACAGCAAGCTGCAACTCCTGTAAACAATGTATCTGATGGGATTGCGTCCACATTTAAATTTAATTGAACAAGTGTGTAATCTTTTGTGTCCGTTTCGGCCTCTAATTCTTTCGCAGCAGCTCTATCGTCTTCAGCTTCTTGTGATCCCAATTGATTTTGTTGTCCATCTCCACCAGAAGTTGTGTTTTGAAATGGGTTCGAAGGAGTTGCACCAAACGAGAACCCAGTTTCTTTTGAAGAAAATATATTGTTGCCCAAGGTCGTTGTTAAAGGTTGTGAACCACCGATGTTTAATGTGCCGAAATTTAATGTTGGCATTCCAATATTACCAAAACCATTAGTCTCTGTTTGGATATTCTTATCATTGGTTTCAACTGTTTTTGTTGGAAGAGTAAAAGAACCCAATGGAGATATTGGATCGTTTTTCATTGAAGATTCTGTTTGTAATGAAGAAGAATTGCTTTTTCCCTTCGTACGAAGTTCATTTTTGACACCAAAAGGCTCCATCCCAAATGGTGCAGGTTCTATTGGCTTAATACCTGCAGTTGAAAAATCATTCAACATCTCGTTCTGTTTTTCGGCTGGTTTGGGTGGATTTGTGGTGGTTAAATTCCCAAATATATTGCCCAATTTCGTTTCTGTTGAAGATGTTGCTGGCGTTGTTAAACAACCCCATGACATAAACGGCTCATTTTTATTTGTATCAACGGTTGAAGGTTCTTTTGATGATAGAGGGTTTGAAAAAATGTTCTTCATTTTGTCTTCGTCATCGTGAAGCGGCTTTGTTGTTGGTGTTTGTTCACTTGCGGGGGCAATGTTGAAAATTGGGAGGTTGAAATTTCCCAAAGAACCCATGTTATTTGTGGCCGCTTCGTTATTATTAGCTTCTTGCTTGCCCGAAAATTGTTTAAGATCAAAAATTGAGGACTGAGTTGTCACTTCATTCTGTTTTTCGGTTGGGGTTGATAAGTTTGTTGTACTTTGATCACCAAACAACGGCATAGTGAAAAGATTGTTGGTGTCAGTTTTATTTTCACTTTGTGTTGGTTGAGGAGCGGTTGTTGTAGTTAAAGGCATTGAAAAGTTAAAGGTAAGTCCCGGGATATTAAATCCGCCATTTGGTCCCATAACAACTTGTGGTTTTTCTTCAACGTACTCAATGGATTCGCTACTATGGTCGACAACAAGAGGAGGTCTGTCGTCTTCTGGTATCGGGTCTCTGTGTACTTCAATATCTTCAAGTGGTTTACTTGGTGTGTGGTCATCTTCATATTTAAGAATTTTCTTTGGTTCCAACTTCATTGTTTTCTCTGGTTGAGTGTCGTCGTCAGGAAGTTTTGTGTTAGCGTCAAAAGCAAAAGCTGGAGCCATATTTTCGTCTCTTGGCAAGAGGGGGATGGTTTGGGTTTTGTCCTTTATATTATCAGACTCCTTTTCAAATATTGACGGTCTAATTCTTTTACCGTCAAGAGCGTTTGTTGCTGTGCTTGAAGACGGCGCTAAGGCGACTTGGCCGAACATGTTGAAAGATTTATCAACAGCTAACCCTTCTTCTTTTTGGGGAGCGTTATAAATGGTAAGTCTTTTTCCATCAGCTTTGACGTTTACTTCTGGTTTTGAAGTACCAACAGTTTGTGCAACAGAGATTCTTGGTTTGTTTGCTCCTTTTGTTCTTAAGATGTTATTCTTTGGTTCGTTCAATGGAATTCTTTGTTGTTGTTCATTTGAAAAATTGAAGTTGAGGTTGTTCTCTTGGATGTCACTCTTCGGCTCTTCGCGGATACCAGAAAGGTTTTCCTCTTGCACAGAGATCTCCTTTTTGTCTTCTTCGAACAATTTCGACTGCTCAAGGCGGTCTGATTCTGGGACGGTTTTGGCAACCTCATCGATGCGAGAAGAGGTTTGCATCAGTTCAACTTCTTTTGCTTCGTAATTCTTGTCCCGAGGTGGGTAGAGCTCGAAAAATTTTGTGGTGTATTTCCCAAAAAAGTCGCTGAACTATTAGCTCGTTCTGGTAACAAATAAATCTGAGAGAATGACAAACTTTGGTGATGACATCTTGTTTGTTTTAAAGTTTCCCCTATCTTTCTTTTTATTTTTTGTTGACTTTATTGATATAATAATGAAATAACTATATTTCACATTTCGGAAATCTTTCAAAACCTATTTCTCTTTTTTATCATTTATATAACATTTTTAATTTGAATTTTTAAAAATGTTTTTATTGGTTGAAAAGAACTCACAAATGCCAAATTTCAAGATGTCAGCTGTTGGGTTATCAGTTACGCTTACAAACACAAAAGAAGGCACAACTCAACAACTCGCAAATTACCCCAAAAAGGAAGAGGTGACATTCAGTGAAACACTTCAATCAATTTTAACTGCCCAAAACGTCGTGAATGATTCCCTTACTGAAATACTTAAAAATGAAAAAAAATAAATTGTTATTAATTTGTTTTACATTTTTTAATTTTATTTTGTTTGTCAATTTTTTTTTATATTAAAATCTATTTCGTAGTTTTTGATAATCTAAAATAATTAAACTATATTTTTTATTAAGCATAATAAAACCCTTTTACAAAAAAATGGTAATTTTTTTATTAATAAGTCGAACTATTCAAGATTATAACATTTTTATTATATATATTTATTTATAATAACTATATGCTCGAATAACAACTTGATTAATTATTTTTTTAAAACAAAAAAAACGATAATTTAAAAATAATAAATTTTAGTGAAGAAATTTCTTTTTTTGTTGAGTCAAATTTAGATTTGTGTTTTTGTTGTTAATAACTTATCAAAAAGACATTTTTGTAAGTAAAGTAATAAAATTATTTTTTGTGGGTTTATTAAACTATAATTTATAATTATTTAAAAATAAAAATTAACTATAATAAAAAAACAAAATTAAGTAAAAAATAATAATAGTATTAATATAGTTAATATAGTTTTACCCCACCAATTTCCATTAAAAGAGTTTGAAATTCGATAGAAAAAAACGATAACGTTGGTACCACAAATAGAATAACGAGAAAAAAATTCCAACTATAACAAAGGCAGTTGAATCTCTAGATTGTAATAAACACAAACTTAATACAAAAGTAACAGTAAGAAACCCATATAAAATTAAGTTTATTTTAATAAACAAAAATTGGGTGTGTATCTTTTGGTAATACCTCTTTTCTTTTATTGTATTTAATATTTTGAAGGGAACTTATAAAACCAATGTGGGTGAGCTTAGTTCTAATATTTATACTTGCTATATGTATTAGTGTCTTTATGCTCTTTCGTTTCATTAACCCAATACAGAAGCTTCGCAAAGAGTGGTATGTAGTTGTCCTTGCTTTTGTTGGGTGGTTTCTAGCTTTCTTTGTGCCTCTTCTTTTGCCGATTGATTTGGCGTCATCTTTCAATTACAAAGACAGTTTCTTTTATAACAACACAACTGTACTTGTTATCATCTGGTGGGTGATATATGCGGTTCAATTTGTATTATGTTATTTAGTCTTCCCAATAGTGCAGACTTATACCTGTGTTGGCGACTTCACCTTCCTCAAAAAGTTGAAACGGAGTATTAAAAGAAATGTTATTTTCTATGGCATTTTGATAATACTTATGATCATCTTCTTTGTGTTGTATTACGTCTTTTTCAAAGGGGACAATATCTTCGCAAGTGCATCGGACTATGTTAGTTTTGGATTAGTTCTTTCAAATGCTTGGGGTTTAATATTAGCAATATTGTTAATGGGTAATGGTATAGTTTTGTTCTCTTATAACACAATTAAGACTTTCACTTTCGAGATGAATCTGAAACAAACCATATGCGACTTAGGACAGTCTGCAATTCGTTTACAAGAGCAGAAAATGGTGATCAATGACAAGATGGGGGTCATCTGTGGGTTCGACAAAAACGTGAGTCCCGATGATGGCCTTCGGAGATATGTTGATCAGTGCGTTGAAGATGTTCGGAAGTGTGACACGGTGATTTACGAGAAGGTCTTTCCAGTCGACATAAAAATTACATACGACAACTTAGCGATGGCAAATGAAGCCCTTCAAGACTCTTTAAGGAAGACAACGAGAGAACAAGTGCTCTATGACTTAGCAATAAAGAAGGCTGAGCGACTCTTTTTGATTAAGAATGAGAAAGAAATGCCACAATTGACGCAGAAAGTGCCCAAAGTTATGTATTACTATTACAAGTATGGGAGGTACTTCACTAATTGTTTAAAACTGGTGTTAATTGTCTTGTTCTGGGTATTTGTACTTGCCCCAGAAGAGACGATGGTTGGCGCAATGAAAGCTATAAACCCATTATGTCAGCTTTCAAAACATTTAATAGACAACAACTTATACACCACATTTGCTTTAGAAGCTGTTTGTGTCTTGATGATGATGACATTCTTTGCGTTCTCTTCATTTGTCAACATCGAAATGATCTCATTCTTCCGTATCACAGACCATCAGCTGAGTGACTCATACTCAATTCTTTTTGCTGGTAATTATTTGTCGAGGGTTGGCCCTGCACTTGCACTCAATTTCATTCACATGGTCAATTTCACACAATCAACGGCATTCCTTCAAGTGAATGGTGGGATGGAGAATGTCCCATTCTTCGGAAGAAAAAGTTTTAATGACCTCCTCCCAATGTGTCTGTTCATTGTGATAGTCGTTTCAATTCTTTTCTTATTTATCGACTACAGGAAGATATTCAATATAGTCGTCGGTGTATTAAACACAATATTTCACTGTGTCGATGGGATTGGTATTGATGAAATAGTCTATGTCAGTGAAGATGAAGCCTTCGAGAAAGGTACAATTCTTGTCAAGAAGGAATTAATGGAATTGTCGAATGACATCGACGACAAAGACCTCAAAAGAACGTACAGAAAGAGTGTGTTGTTACTCAAAGCATCAAAAAGCCCCGAAGGGTACCACGAACTCGAGAGTGAACCCATCTGAGTTTGTATCAAATAATTTATTGCATTAATAACAGCGTTTAACTCGTTAATAAACAAGCCAGTTAATATCAAACCCCAAAGAGTGTGTCCCCTTTCTTTTCATTGTCACTCATGTAACATATAATTGCGCCGTCATGCGTTTGTGGAATGAGAAAGACCTTTTTAAGTGGTATACTGACGTTATTTGTGTCGACTATTTGCTCTTCAAGAAGAACAGGAAATGTTGTTGCTCGAAATTGGGTTGGGAGCTTCACATACACGGGAGGACTTCTTTTGGTAATTTCCTTCTTGGCACGCATTTCGGCATAACTGTAATACTCAGTTAGTGTATTGAATATTTGTAAGTGTCGATAGACTAAAAACGTCACATGTAAATCGCCTGTTTTCTGCTTAGTCTTGTCGTACTGCCCACATCCCTTAAAGACAACAAGTGAGTCTTCAGTAGCATTGTCATAATGAAAGTTCTTTGTTTCACCAGTTGGGAGTGTGATTTGGTAATTCCCATCCCGTTGTGTAAAGACAGACGTGTAGAGGACTTTGTTGCACACGACATATGTCTCCGATGACTCGACGGTGATGAGGAAGAGATAATTTGTGTTTTCAAATTCAAGACTAATGATGTCGCCGTTGTCTGTCCCCCTTTCAATGATCAATTCAACACTCTTATCATCCAATCGAGTTGTTTCGACCTTTTTTGTACGGGTATTAAAAAAGAGCTGTTTGCCTTTAAACGAGTCGTTGAAGGAAATCGTGACCAGAATTTGTTCAACTTCTTTATCTTCAAATTTTGTGAGTGTTGAAATGGCGTTATCTTCTGTCACTATAAGTGTCCCACACGGAAGACACTTTTCGACAAATTCATCGCCTTCACGCGTGATAGCAGAGTATTTGTAGTTCACATTTTTCATGGAAACAAGTGAAATAGAGTTCTTTTTTGAAGAATCGCATCTAACATATGGTATGGTATTTTTATAGATATGTTATTAATATATTATAGTTACATTGTATAGTTAATTAAAACAATAATTAATTATTGATTGTTATAATTAATTAAAGTTAATTAAATTATCAATTTTGAAAGAAGAGCTGAACCGCCACATTCATTATACTCATGAAGTGAAACACATTTGTTTTCAAAAGATGATGTTGACACAAGAAGGGTACCACCTACACAAGCAGAATGTTTTCTATTTTCTTCAGCAATAATATTAATAGATGTAGATGGTACAAGACTCTTTATTTCTTGATTAAGACGTTCTTCAAACCCTTTTAATGTTGTGTTACCTCCTGATAATATAATGTTGTCAAAGTATTCTCTATAATGTTTTGGATCACACTTATCAATAGTATTTACTATTACTTGCTGTATTGAGTCACAACTAACTCCGATTTCTTTTGGTCTGAAAAGAACTTCTGGCGCTTCATACAACTCCTTTCCAATACTAATGATCGTGTTATCTGGTAATTCATAACTTAGTAAGACTTCTTTATTCTTCCTCTCTTTTGCAATGTCTTTTGATACATAACACAACTTTTCTTTGATATCCCTCACTATCTCACATTCAGAAAATGTGGAGAATGTGTATATGCGCTGTTCAATTAACTCTTTCAGAGTATCAGTCACATCTTTGCCACCAAACGTGTTATAATAAGAATTGTGAATGTCTGGAGTTGACTGATAAAATGGAAGTATTCTGAGAACGTCCTCCCCACTTTCAACAATAACACCCGCTGTCTTCTTAGATGAGTACATCGACAACACAGCAGGTTTCTCTATGCAAACAGATGGCGCTTGAAATTTCTCAAACATCAGTTGTGCCATCTTCTCACGCGTCTCTCCGGAATCTTTAAAGTCTTCTGTAAGTAAAATACTGTGTTCTGAAGGTTCGACACGGAGTTCATTGTACAATGTATGGTGCCATATTCGTTCCATTGAATCCCAGTTAACAACTTTACCATTTTCTATTGGACGTTGGATGTTAAGTACTGAAACTTTACAAAAAGCCTCATTTCCCACAAACACTGACTTTAACAATGAAGATAACATCGGATCATATTTTGGAGTTCCAACAAAATTAGGAAACGACACAAACAATTCCTTTTGCCCACAAAAGCCAGCCTTGAGATTTAAAGAACCATTGTCGATTATTACAGCACTATTTATTCCATTTGACATTGAATTATTTTTTTTAAAGAGTTAATTTTTATAAATTAAAATAACATCGACTGGATGTGTTGTTATGAATGGTATACTCAAAGATAAATAAAAAAATAATTCTTATAAGTATAATATCTATAAATTTAACATACAACAATATATACACATAAAACATTAATAATAGGCCTCACTTAAATTTATAGAAGTTGAGGTGGTCGAGTTCTGGGTCGTCGATTTGTGGACTTGGGATGAGGAGGCAGTGAAGGGGTGCGCCGAAGTCGTAAGTGAGAAGATCCTTCATTTTGCCAAAGACGATTTTCTGGTCTGGTGCGGCGACGCGAGCCAATCCGACGACATAGGTATCTTCGTTGTAGACGCCGGACTTCTGTGAGTTTTCGACTTGAAGGAGTTGATCGATGCATTGATTGATTGTCATGTAGCGTGGTGGTTCGAAGATGTCTCTTCCTTTGATGATGTTTTCCTCACTGCGTTCTTTGACTTTGATATCGAGAAGGACGAGTGTGTGCATGTTGTTGTCGCGATTTGTTTTGATGCGTTGGTAGTATGAGAAGGGTTTCCAGTTGTCAGTCCAGAAGCAGACAGAGACGGTTTGCCCAAAGCGATACAATTGGAGACCACTGCATCCAACAGCATTCATGATCGATGCGTTGTGAATGACTTTGACTTCAATGCCACTCTTTTTGCATCGGCAGAAGATGTCCGAGTGTGTTGTTGCTCCAAAAACATCACCAACTACAAGCAGCGCAACTTTCTCTGTTTTAGCTGGTTCAAGAATCACGTCTGCCTCACTTTCAACAAGATCTCTGTCTGCAACTATCACCTTCTTCCCATAGAACTCTTCAAGGCGGGTGACATCGCATTGCAGAATTGCTGTGTAATGTTCAAGAAAGATTTTGTCGCATGATTTGATTGCCTCAAGACCGCGCACAGTGATGTCTTTCTCGTCGTAGAGACCAAGTCCAATGATGTACAGCATTGAAACAGTTCACAACTCACAACTCTTTTTTAATAATATACAAAATTTAAAAACAAAACAAAATAAAAACAAAATAAAAACAAAATAAAATAAAAACAAAATAAAAACAAAGGA